TTGTTCATGTTGATTGACAGTTTAGAGCATATACGTCAATGTATTATTTGGAAGGCAGCCCTTTGCATAGAAGTCCACGATCAGCCACGGGACTCTTGTAAGAAGAGAAAAAAAATGAAATTGTGTAAGGTTTATGAGAAACATACCTAAGCCACTGGAGAGTGACTTGTCAGCTTTAGTAACTTTTGCAATTAGGTCATCAATATTGCCTTGCATCCTACTGAGGCCAGCAACGAGAAAAATGTATATCCAATGAATCAATACTTGAGAAGATTTTCACTGCTTTATAGGATATTTCATCTACTATCGATGGAAGTGATTCTCCCTTGAATCTATGAGGGGGATTTCTGGTAAGAGGAGTACCCCGGAGAGAATCGTCAGCGGTGGGTTTCGTGTCGCTGATATGTATGCATATCCAGCAATGACATCGGTACTGCTTATAGCCATTTCGGAGATTGAATAGGGGAGATAATTCAAAAGTCGTAAATTTAGAATCTTACACATCTGAACAATAAGTGAACAACTGAGATAATTAAGAAGTGTCTGCCACGTGTACTCCTTCATGGTGTTTGAATATCTGTCTAAGTAGCTAAATGGCACCGCTTACGGAACTCGATGAGTGTTTCCAGACCAGCAGCATCTCTCAACCACCTCTAGATGATGGTTGCTCAGATTCCTGGTATCAACCTTGTGATATTCAGTTCCTCGCGAAGAGCGATCCTTGATGCAACAGCAGAACTACGTCTAACATGCTTCGGTCCGTGAGAGACATTATAAAAATCGTGCCTACACAGAAAGATAGCCGGAATCATTAAATTTTCGAGATAAAGTGTGTACCCATTCCAATACAATTCTAACTTTGAACTGCAATTCTATGAACTTTATTTCCGTTGTCCGTAGAATTTTGGTTTAGCTGCCAGTACATGGGCTGTCTCTATAAAACAATGCAGTGGATCGGATTATTGAACTCGCGGGAAGATTCAGATCTGCTCTCGTCGCCGAAGAGGCAAGATTCTGTCTGTGTCCTCAAGTGACCACGATATCCAGACGGCCCATAATCCCGCAGTCCCACGTTATAGTTGACAACGGAGGTTCTACAGGACAGGTGTCCCTTGAACCAGCTTCAGTGATCTCTGAGTGCAAATTGAAATTTGTTGTTCAAGATAGAAAAAAGTACTCTGCTTGGTGAAGCAAACGGTCAATTTCCCAGAACATGACATTTCGCGATCTTGAGAGTTGGTAAGTGCTATATATTCATGAAAGCAGATCCCAGCTTGTCCTTTCGATAGCATCAAGCGCAGCCAAGAGTCCTCTTTGACGTTTATCTTGGCGGGGTTATGCTCTTCTTAGTTCTGAAGAGTAGCAAGGGCGGAAGGGCAGCTAGTAGGTAGTCGAGGTAGTTAAGCAACGAGGCAATCTATTATTGCTAGCAATTCGAAGTGAGGTACCGGTAGTCAATACACTAATAGGCGTACTAATTGCCAAAGATGCACTCGATGAGGTAATAAGGATTATCGACTGCTCGAGTGATGAGCATGTATAATGTATATACATATATATACACATATATATGTAGTCATATAAAAACATTTACCTACTCGAATCACCTCGATAAAACAATTAGAATTCTCGAACAATAGACAGAGCTCGAGTTCCTCGACCTTTACATACCTCCCTGGGTATCTCGATCAGAAAAGCGTCAAATTGCTATGATATCAACGAGTATGGGGGATATATTTATATAAACCATAAGTTTGTTTATTAAAAGTGAATTAATCCAATGAATATCGGTCTCCCTAATCTCGATTGATTAACTGTATCATTATTATTTATTATTATCGTGGTTGCACGGAATCCAGTCGCATTTGGTCCCGGTCACTCATAACAGCAACCACATGGGTATGGGTATTTCGTAGATTCCCGAGTATTGCCTTTACATACCTAAGGAACTTTAAATCCCTCCAACAACAGAATTAACAACAGACTTACTACCATTACAAGTGAAAATACCGCATGGTACCCAGATATAACAGCCACACATAGCCATTTGATTGCGACTCGCATCTTTCATCTGCAAAATGTCGTTTGGAGGGGACATCGGACTCGATACCACATCGTCGTCCAATGTTGCTGGCAATGGCGGCAACCAGGGCGAGACAACCGGAAGACCTGCCACCCCTCAAGACGCAACCGCAAAAGCAGTCCACGATGTTACAAGTTCGGAGGTGAGTGAATTGTCTAAGGTTCTTCCCTTTGCTAAAGGAGAGCTAAACGTGTCCATGGCGTCAGATTGGAATATCAACCTTGTTAACACGACTGAAACAAAGTATTGCTTCCGCAAAGGTATTTCCCCAACTTTCAATGCCTGCGTGGATATAAAGCTGACTCTGCGGAACAGGAATTCGCACTTTTTCTCAAGAAAAGGTCCATTATGGAAGAGGAACATTCGAACGGGTTAAAAAAGCTGTGTAAGGCAACTGGAGATAATATTCGCAGACCAGAGCATCGACACGGATCGTTTCTACAGTCATACGAAGAGGTGCTGATTATACACGAGCGAATGGCCGAGAATGGGGCTCAATTTGGCGTGTCTCTACATCAGATGCATGATGATCTTATTGAAATGGCTTCGAATATAGAGAAGGGCAGAAAGCATTGGAAGAATACTGGGTTGGCAGCAGAACAACGTGCTGCCGACACCGAAGCTGCCATGAAGAAGTCGAAGGCGAAGTACGACTCTCTGGCAGATGAGTACGACAGAGCCCGCACTGGAGACAGGCAATCGGGAAAGATATTTGGCCTCAAAGGCCCCAAATCGGCAGCGCAACATGAAGAAGACCTTCTCCGTAAAGTCCAGGCTGCCGATGCAGATTATGCGTCCAAGGTACAGGCTGCGCAAAGCCAACGAACTGAGCTCTGGTCGAAATCAAGACCTGAGGCTGTGAAAGCTCTAGAAGATCTCATTCAGGAATGCGACTCTGCATTGACATTGCAGATGCAGAAATTTGGTGAGTCATGAGGGCTCAGCTATACTACACATGACACTAATTATATTGAACAGCATCCTTTAACGAAAAGCTACTTTTAAGCAATGGCCTGAACATAAGCCCTATCAAAGCAAAAGAGCAAGGGACATCAAATCGTAGTCTCCGTGAAGTTGTTCATGCAATTGATAATGTTAAGGACCTGAGCAACTACATCAGTAGCTTCGCTGGTAACATGCAATCCCGGATAACGGAAATAAAATATGAGCGCAATCCGGTTAGCTATGAAGATTCCTAATTTCATTGATTTAGGTCCAGCTAATTTTAATACAGGTTTTGCAACCCGCGCCGAATGTCGCTCAGCGACAATCAGATCCCAACGCTCTTCAAGCTCGACAAGGGCCCGTAATACCACCACAGCCATCTCACCAGGTTCATATGAGCCAACCTTTCAATCAAAGCAGTCCCCCAACTCACCAGCGCGAAAGAAGCTTTAGTCATGGCCCATCCCTTTCGCAACACATTGTTGCACCTATTATATCGCCCACTAACCCAGTATCTACCTCTCCCGACTTCAATACCTGGTCACCTCGTGTAGATGGACCCCCCCAGATATCAACCTTGCCATTCCAGCCACAACCTCAAAATGAGACAGCAATACAACAGACACCGCAAAATCCTACAACGCATGCACCAGTGTCCCATGGCCCATCCTCGGCACCATTATTCGGACCAGGATCGGCTCCAACTCCAGGCAACAACACTCACCTAGCACCATTGAAACCAGTGTTTGGTCTTAGCCTCGAGGAGCTCTTTGAGAGAGATGGCTCTGCTGTTCCAATGATTGTCTACCAGTGTATCCAAGCAGTTGACCTCTTTGGACTCGAGGTTGAAGGAATATACCGGTTATCTGGTACCGCGTCTCATATAATGAATATCAAGGCAATGTTCGATAACGGCAAGTTGGGCAATTCGATTGGTTGTTTGAGACAGTCTTGCTAATAATTCGCAGATGCATCTAAGGTGGACTTCCGTAACCCGGAAAGCTTCTTTCACGATGTCAATAGTGTGGCTGGTCTTCTAAAGCAGTTTTTTCGCGAACTTCCAGACCCTTTATTGACTATCGATCAATACCCTGCATTTATCGAGGCTGCAAGTAAGTTTTCTTTTAAATCTACTCACTTGACTGTTCCTTTACTAACATAAGCACAGAGCATGATGATGAAATAGTCCGTCGCGACTCTCTACATGCCATCATCAATGGCCTTCCTGATCCTAATTACGCTACCCTTCGAGCCTTAACTTTACATTTAAATAGAGTACAGGAGAGTTCGGCATCTAACAGGATGACTGCAAGCAACTTGGCCATAGTCTTTGGCCCTACACTCATGGGTGCTAATTCAGGACCGAACATGCAAGACGCTGGGTGGCAGGTTCGTGTCGTTGACACTATTTTGAAAAACACTTATCAGATATTTGACGACGACTGAGGCGAAGAAGACCATGCATGGTTGATTGATTTAGGGAGTCTTTAACGAGATACCATAGCCTCTCATATTATGAACCTACCTTTGGAACAGAAACAAGGCTAGGGAACCCTTAGCATCAAGTCTCTATGTGCTGACAAGACGTTCTACAAAGTACATGCCACTGTATTTCAAATGCTATTATTGTAAGGCACGGGCCCATTAACGAGTATTTACGGTCTATCAAGCGAGTTTACGTCAGGGGGTGGTCTACATCACGATCATTTTCGTAGGGTCATGTGCTCAGCTCTGATGCCAATATCGGTACAATGGTTGAATCAAAGGGGTATCAAGGTTTCTATGCTCGCTGATTTTGGATTAAGAAAAGATCATGCAGGGCGTGATCTTTCAGGTCACTGAAGACATGTCTTGACAGCATGTAGGGCAGTCCTAATTGAATACATTATTGATATAAAATAAGCTCCTCATGTGTCTACCATGTGGTACAATCGAGGGTGATTTGTAATAAAATTATAAACAGAGCCGACCCTCAGTTGACTCCTTTCCTACTCGCAAACAGTGTCAAACTGAGACTCGTGTCATTCTCTCCCATGTTAGCACTTGGTTCTCCCAACATCTCCCAGCGTTTCATTGTGAAAGGAAATGACTGGCGGCACGAATCCTTTGCGTGATCCGTGTTTGTATTACTGCTATTCCTTGCAGTAGCAGTAGCTTTTGAGCCGGATTGATAGATGTGCAACCAGTCAGATGGCGGCGCCATAATACTATAAATATAGCTAGTAATTGGGTTCGAGGCTGTATCTCGGAAGTTTCGACTGCATTGCTGACGAATGTCGTCAGGGAGGACATCTACCATATTTAGAATAAGGTCGAAACACTGCTGTAGTGGGGAGGTTTGGGTTTTTGTGTTAGCTTTGAAACGATATAGATCCAAAAAGATTGCTGTCAAAAATAGGATTGCTCTTCCCCGATGTTCATGTCCGACTTTCGATGGTTCTAATACCACTGTTTGAGAGGTTGCGAAAGATAATAGCAATGGTAGCCACTTCGTAAGGTATGTAACCTTACAACTGTTTGGCTGTGCGCTAGCAAAACATTGCGAGGCGTTGTTAAGTAAAGTCACAATTTCTGGAAAGCAACTTTGCGAATTATGCGACGTGTTGACTTTCTCAGTATATATCTTGTCTATTGTTAAATCGAGTATGGCCATCAAGCTTTCTGCTTTCGACAATTGGTGCTCTTCTTCTAAAATATCATAATAGCCCGATGCTTTGGCAGCATGGAATAGCCGAAGCAATTGGGTCTCAGCACCACGTCGTAAATGATTCACGGCAGTCAAATCCAATGATGGTACAATGCAAGCCCATGTCGTACCTCCCGCCATTATCGCAGACTCGACTGCACGATCAAGGTCGTCGAGCTGAGGAGAGACCATGTTTCGTGGAGTGGCTTGGGGAACCTTTCCCGAGCGAAAGGTGGAGGCTACCTTTAGTTGGCAAAATGGAAGATTAAGATAATTCGCAGATTTCAATGCATCACCCACTGAAATATTGGAAGCCTCTATTTGATACGTAGGCACAAGAAGCTTGTTTATCGAGGCACCCAATACTTTTGAAGCTTCTTGGCTGGCAGTTCCCGAGGATAAAGGGTGCACTATGATCTTGCCGATCATATCACCGCCAACCAAGACTAGTGTCTGAAGTAAGTCATGCATAGCTGAGCTACCTAAGATATTCAAAGTATCAAACTGCATGTCGTGGACAGCTGCTGAACACGCCTCGATTGCCGATCGGATAACAGTTAATGTTAGTTCAGGGTTGTCAATTGGCATACGACTTTGCACAATCCGGAAGCGATATGCTTCGTCTGGTGTCAAGATCTCCGGTAAGCTGAGTGGGGTCGCAATCAAGGCCAGTAGTTCCATAGATACTATCGTGTTCACATTCCTGTGTTGGAGTTGGGATCGTCCTTTTCACGCTTTAAGCTGGCATTAACCAGATCTTTCATGGAAAGGCAACCCAGTCCTATCATTGGGCCCCAGATTTTCACCATGCTGGGTCGATGTTCCGACTTCTGAATATAGGACAGCCAGCTAGCCATCAATAAATCAAATGACTGAGGATTGAAATCTCTTAAAGTTGTCAACAATGATACACACTTTCGCTGCTGCTCTGGTGACTTATCCAATGAGATCGATAAATGACGGGTTACTCTTTGGAAAAGCCGGTCCATGGTTCCTCGATCGATGCTTGTACCATTAGCAAGAAGCTTCTCGATTTCATCTACGAACTCGGCTTCGTTGTTTTGAGATCCACCTGCCATATGATCTGATACCGGAGAACAAGCGTCGGCGACACACTTTCTATCACTCAGAGCAAGTTGGCGAGCGAGTTGCGCGGTAAGCGTTGATGCTCGGCATTCTGAATGAAAGGTCTAACAAGGATCCCAGAATAATTCGTGGCATAATGTCGCGATCATCTGCAAACGAGCGTGCACGATTAATAAGGACATCAAACAGGTCCTTAATTGCTCCGATCCCAGCAAACACTTCGGCGTGCATATTGAGTGTGTCGGCGCACGACGAGATAGTTTGAGGATCAGCTGAGGCTGTGGCAATCTTTATGACTTCGGCGAGCATAGTGAAATCATCTACAAATTCCAGGAAGTCTCGCACCATGCCAAACGCAGCCGCCGTCAGTCCACAAGTATCATGAGCTGCAGGTGATGGATTTCCCCATTGATTTAATGGTTTGCTTGATGGTAGCATTTGTAGTTCAACTTCGCGAAGAAGCCAAGACCCAATGTGGGATTTGCTTGTGCGATTCAGCGATTGGATATCATCTAAGCCCTTGAAGTCCTGGTTTGCTTGAGGAAATCGCCGTTCTGAAGCTATTGGCATCATTCGGAAGGCGTTGCTTATATTAGAAATACTAGCTGCTACCTTACGGTCCTCGGTCTCTATTGGGTATTCGGCACGATAAAGTAAAGACCTGCGCAACCCGACCATTTCTTCGCTCAAATTTTGCATTGGAAGTTCTGCAAGAAGCCTCGTTCCACAAGGACCGCCTGGTGCCAGGTCGGAATGATCGTGTATACCTCCACGGCTGATCAGCCACTGAAGATATGTCGGAATACAAAAGTCGTTCGATCTCGCTAGCTCGGAAACGAGGTGATAAAACGAAGCCTTGTTGCGCCCAATTTCGCAAGCACTGGAGTCAAGGAACGATAGCGTGGCCGCAGTCGTGTCTGCGCCCAGTCTTCTCCAAGCTCGTATAATGCGAGCACCAATGAATACTTTTGCGTGTCCAGGTCTGTAACATGATGTCGACCAATCCAAAATTGCATGAACAAGAGCCGTCTTGTCATCATCAAGTTGCCAGCAAACATCTATGATCTCGGGTGTGAACAGGGTGAAAAGTGACTTGTCTAGTATATTGAAAAGGCGTTGTTGAGGAGGATGCTGGGCTTCAGGAGCTAGAGTAGTGAGTCGCATATTGCGGCGGTTAATCTCATCCCAAACAGACATGGGAAGCTCATCTGAGTAGCTGAGATAAGCCTGTAGGACTTCCCTGTGCTTGGACCAAATCTCAGGAGAGACAAAATTGTCCGGATTTGAAGTCATCAATTTAGTTAGAAGTATGCGCAAACGACCAATCAAAGGTCCCAGTATATCAGCATCTGGATGTTTGATTGTCTTGGGAGAAATACTGTCAGCCGTGTGAGGGAGAATTGAATGATGATGCCATACCTCCGAGAATCGATTCAACAAAACAGTTGTGAATCGTCGCCCGAACCTCCGATACTTCAAAATATCTTCCCAATACATTTGGGCAATCAATAGCCACATTGGCAATTTTGCTTGAGAAGTCGTCTCTAGGGAAGATAATATCCAATCTATATAATGCTCGCGATCCAGAAGGCATTCGGCATGAAAGTGAGCTGCCAAACGAATCCTGTCATGCTCGTAAGTGAATGCGCAAGGGCAGAAGAGAGCTATACTTACGCATAGTAGATCTTGCGACGAAAGTCCTTTTCTCCGCACGACCCAATAATGTTTTCCAACACTTGTTCAACAGAAACTGTGAAATCTCGCACCCATTTCGCTTCTCCTCCCATAGCGAAGGTACCACCTGCACCTTTTCTCTTGAAAGACCGCAGTTCATTTGCACCAACACATTTGGCTAACCAGACAGCCCGCTCGATGGGAATGTTTTTATTGAGAGCGTGTTCCAAGAGCACTTTACCCCTAATCCCATGAGGAATCGATCGACTAAGGCGACGGAGTGATATGGTCGGGTTAGCTAGATCTTTGAGCCATATCTCTCTCTTCGTATCTGTGACCGTTACACGCGGCGGAGGCTTGAAGGTTGAGTCGGCTGTGATATTTCCATGGGCCCTTCGCTGAGCTAGAACGCTTGTGAATAACGAGGATAAAGTTTGCAGGCCGCTTTTGTGTTTTAAAGATGGGTATATGGAGGCCTTTGCGGAACCTGTCTCGTTCTGTGACATTTGCGACTTGTCGAAGAAGCCTTGGCGGATGACCGGTTCGGAGAATTGATCTTCTGCATGATTACCGTTCCAAGGAAAGAAATCTGCATGACCTATTGAGAGGTTAAAAGAATTAACATGGCATTGGGATATTGCCTAGTCATGGCTGGACTTACCATTCGGTGAATAAGAAGGTGCGGCTAAAGGAACCTCTAAAACAAAAGGCTTTGGACGAGCATCTCTCTTTCCGGTAGGCCCAATCGACGGGCTCGGCCTGTCAAGAGAAGGGGGAGGATGTTGCCCGGGCCTAACAGGGAAAGCGAACGGTTTCGCAGGTGTCTGGCTATGGTTTTGATCGGATGGTAAAATGGATTTTGAAGCTCTCATGCGAAGTGCATCGGAATGAAGTTGCGGCCGACCACGCGGAGGCAAAAGTTGCCTATTTGATATTGAAGTCGAAGGAACCAAGCTTGATGCATCCGCTTGAACAGAACTCCTCGATTCATTTGAGATTTCCTGCTTCAGGCGCGACCCTCCTGCTCTCGAGGTTTGCCCATAACGGGCCGATGTAGAATCCGGCACATCAAGCGTCAAGTCTATGAGCGCTTCATTGTGTCTTCGAGTTGGGGAAGTAGATGATAAGCTCCTCTGAGGAGAGGGCCTCGAGGTAATATTTGAATTCAATGACCTTTGCGACTGTCGTTGGGCTTGTGACCCAACGAGGGGTTTTGTGGTCATGATTGCGCCATTCCGTGACCGACAACTGCGACTTTAATGTAATCAGAATTTAATAATGAACAGACTGCGCAAGTGATATATGAGCCGTGCAAAGGGTATAGAGAGATTTTACAGTTATATTTGAGTTCTCAGGACCCAAAAGTGATTGAATTGGGTTGAAAACCGCCGCAGGAGATTTGATGATTAGATGATGTGATAGGGTATTGGTACGTCGCACAGGCGCAGTTTCTCTCTTGGTAGAAGCTAAGGCTATTATCGTGTCAAAGCAACGATGGATGTAAATGTATCTTTTCGTGTTATAATGTATTATGCTTGGTTATGTCGTACACTCCGGAATAGCAGATGTATTATATGAATGAAGATATACAGTTGAGAAGGGTGGTCGGAAATAATGTGTTTAGATGAGGCGAGGTGGGTGTGAGCGGAACTTAGAGAGAGGCAGGCAGATAGATACAGAGACCCAAAAAGTCAAAAAGTGATCGTGTACGGCCCGTGTTCGTAGTTCGCTCGTTCGGTACCCCAGGTTGGTCGCGCCAATTCCACCCAGGACAGGTAAGATCTTACCCATGTGCATACCAAGCTTCTAGCTTCACATGAAATGACAAACCTAGAGCACAGTCTCTCATACTATCTCGAACTCAAAATCTGCTAGACTTCATCAATTACATTGTGCAAGTAAGCATCCAGATATATCACACATTGTTAATCATATCAACCCTACGATCATCCCGTTCAGCAAACATGGCGGCCAGAAAGGACATGCGAAGAGGTGATCTCAGTATGTATTTGTTTATTGCTAATTCTTGCTATACATCTCATGTTTATATATGTTATCTTACCTTAAAGTACTGACAGTCTCTCACCTCAAGTTATTCCCTATCAAGCTCCAGCTGCAAAAGAATCTCCCAGCGATTTTGGTGGCACATTAGGTAGCACTCTGCCGATGGCAGCAATGTTCACTCGCAACAAGCTCATCGGATGGTACGTCAATTCAATGGATGAGATTTATATCCATTTCTATGTCGAAGATGATGTAGGAAGGCATATGCTAATTTATCAAAGGGCTTCGGTTCTTTTCGCCATTCAAAATTGGTTAGGCGAATCTCCAGAGACGAGAAAGACCTCCTCCCAACCGGCATACTTCTCAGTGGGAATGTCACGTAAGATACCTTTACTCTCTCACTTTCACATTGGCAGCCCATACTAATCTACTTGTGCTGCAGTGATGGCTCTTGTTATTGTAAGTTCATTCACAAACTCATCATGGAGGTGTGACACTTGGCTAATTTACGCTCCCCAGACTTATCTTCCGATGTTTCTCCCTCCACCTCCCGCTGCTCCAGTAGCCCAATCAGCATAATGGTCGCAGATTGCGAATGAACCACAGAAGCAACTCATGTATGGGCGATAATTGGTTACATGGATGGAAGCGCTCATGGGGTGGAGCTCCTTTCGAGAACTTATGGCATGTAGCGCGCCTTCGCGGAACGGAGACAAGAATGGGAACGATGATGTCTACAATGAATGGAGATCAGACGAGGATAGATTAGCATGAATGGGCTTGAGAGGAAGCCTGACATTGTAGTCAATGGTGACTTCTTCAAGTATCAATTAACATATTGGTATTGGAGCAAAAGTTGAAGCTTTGGTAGGTGGTAAATAAGCAAAGTATACCATTTGCTTGTACATATAATCGACATGGGCTAATTCTAATCTATTTCTTTCGCAAGTGTAGGAGTGGTTGTAGGAGAGTGATTACGTAAAGCTGTTGTGAAGTTGAAACCTTATGTATATCGTATATTGTGTAGGAAGTTGAATCCTTGTGTATATCGTATATTGTGTAGGAAGGAGTAAATGAAACTGTAAGATCTTACAATATTCAACGCATACGTAGGTAGGTGGTAGTACAATAGAGACAATGCAGTGTCAAATTTTGGAATTCGATGATAGTTATCTGATAGGGAAATACCTGAGAATGTCCAGATGCATACCTCGATACTTTGTACTATAGAGGTGACATGGTGATACGGTATCAAGCATTCACAACTGCAGGTGCTTTTTATCTCTCTCTGTCTACTGTCTCTACGATAGCTACGATGGCTCGACTCGAGAAGACAATACCGAGTACGGCGATGCTGACTAATTACTGGACCCCTGATCGGTCTCAAAAGCGGCAGTGGTCACTTACCAATTATTTACCATTTTGGAAAGAGTCATTGGAGAAAAGTGTCAGTTGGATGACTCTTTTCCACACTAAGCTTGCCACTTTAACTGTATAGGTACAACACTTACCCAATTTAGTCATTGAGCTTCGCCCCGCCTCTCTTGCCACAAATCACACAACTCCCCCCCGTTTAATTTAAACAACAAAACCGACCGCCTTTCTTACATTACAACACTACATAACCCTTCCAAAACCACCAATATCTAAATCACCCCACCTCGAATTCGAACTCGAAATCAAATCCGTTTACATCCCTTTACAAAGTCTATATCCTTCTATCAACTTTATCAAATAGTATCTCAGTCCCACAGATACCAGGCACACTCGAGTTTATGTCCATCGAAAATCTCAAGACGATCGGTATGCGCCCTTCCTCTCCCCCCCCCCCTTTTACTCTCAGCTTTGAGAAGTAGACATCACGAGAAGACTCCAGCGCATATACCTTCATCCACATACCTACAACTGATGATTCCCAAAATCATCTTTGGCCGCCCTTGGTGCTTTCACTAACCATCTCTTATAGACTCCTTCGCTGAAGCCGATGCCGCCGGAGATCCAGGACCAGACCAAGGCTCAGGGGAGACAAAGTCGTCGTTGAACGCGAACGGTTCCTCCCCTATCGCAACATCCAAGCCAGCAAAGTCCGCAAAGGCTGCTCCTGGCGGAACTCAAATTGAAAACTTGAAAGTCTTTGGTGAGGAAATCAATCTATGTTATCGTGGCACATTCTCATTGTCGAATGTCGATGGAATCAATCACATCTCAGCTTGGCTTGTTTGCTCGTTACATGACTTCTTTCAGCATAAGTTCTAACAATGGCGCGAATCTAGATCCTTTCGCCGAAGCCGACGAAGAGCCCGGAGACCAAAAGGCCGCAGAATATATCCATATTCGTATCCAACGTATGTTAAGTTTATTTCACACCCCTTAAAACCAGGTCAAAAATATCAAGGGAGGCTTGCATACCAATCACTGACAATAATAATTACAGAGCGTAATGGACGTAAGACTTTGACTACCGTTCAAGGACTTCCAAAGAAATTTGACCAGAAGAAGATTCTTAAGGTTATCAAGAAGAAGTTCGGTAAGTCTCATCATACGAGATAAACAGCGAGGTATCAGGTACTAATGTCGCATGTAACAGCTTGCAATGGCACCATTGTCAACGATGTCATCATGGGTGACGTGATCCAGCTTCAAGGAGACCAGCGCAAAGATGTGCAAGATTTCCTCACTGGTAAAGATGGCTTAGAGCTTGATGCCAAGACCATCAAGGTAGGATAAACAACGCTTACGACTTGTTATAACCCTTCTGATCAAATTCTACCTTAGGTCCACGGTTTCTAAAATCGTCAGTCACACGTTACGAGCCATCGCAGCCTTGTAAGCTCCCATCACCATATATGGTTGCCTGCATGCTCAATACATACCATCGCTGCGAAAGACTCTATAAACATGTCGGCGAGATATTCCCAATCATCCCCCGCATTCAACACAGAAAGCGCTGGGCGGTAATAAGGGATGGCTTTGCACGCGAATGTTCCAACTTTGCTATTTTTATTATAGCGGGGTCTTCATTCTCTTTCTTTTTACGCTATTCAGATCAGAATGCTCAGCGCACCTGACTGTAAATTCTATCCGATATGCCTAACTGGCATAGTAAAGATATCAATTCATAAAGGCATATGGGCCCATTATAGTCTTCGTTCTTCATTTGAGTTGCTTGTCTGTGAATAGTGACTATTAAATCTATTGAATGTCTTATACTACACTATCAAGTTCAACCCTATCTTGACATACCCCCAGATCTCTTCCATATGCAGAATCAATGGTAGCGGCGGAAGGTCTGTTCTTGAAAGATACAACTGAGATAATAAACTGACCATGCTAATGAAACTTGCAATTGAAAAGACGGAAATTGATAAGGAAGTCTCCTTCCGTATCGCAAGTCGTGGATGAGTCAAATGGTAGAGAAATGTTAGTGTCTGTATTATGGTCAGAAAACGCGGAAGAGTATCAAGTGACGGCACGTACACTAGCTATACAAATCCAAGCAGGAAGAAGTAAGCGTGGATCTCCTGAACCCCCTGATAGATATAGGATCCACGATGTGGTGTATGCATTTATCAAGTTGATGGTGAGCAGGCGGACAATCGTTGCTGAGTGACAGTTAGTCGAGGATTTCCATTGTGTTCATGAAGATACCCATACCTTGAGGAGTGTAGTTAAGTAACCTGATATGTTACGTGTTTAGTTATTTGATATGTTCTAGCTTCGGGTCGTGACTTTACGGAATGAGCGGTGTTGGAAGATTTTACATACCATCTAGACATTAAGCAGTCCGTGAAGAAGAAGGCAAGATAAGCGGACGAGAAACACTTTCGAGCGAATTAGCATTTATTTTATTTCGGCATACGATATCTTCTGTCACAAAATGGAAGATTTTCGAGTTGTCTTGAGAAAATTGTCCATACCCACTGATATCAAAAGTTAGCACTGGAACGACAACGGCACCAGATCTTTCTTTCCGTAAGATAGAAGATTTGCTCACCAGAACAGCCAAAAAGACTTCGACAACCCTGAATCTTTTTTCAATAGTCCACTTTGCTTCTACAGCATTCATTTCATCCCATAGCAACTCTCTCATAAACGTCAACGCACATCGTAACCCCCACCAGATCGCCGGAGCGATACTAAGCAATCGACAAAAGAGGAGCGGAAAATGCCAAACTCTAGCTACGCCAAGAAGTACGGCGACACGAGGATGTAGGACGGAAGTTTTGCCTTCTGGGTCGGCGGGGTGCAGGTTCGGTTTGTAGGGAGGAGTAGATATGGTGGTAGATGGGATTTCAGAGGGGGACGCAGGAAAAGGGGCTTGGTGCGAACGACGCCGGGTGGAAGCCAGAAGGAGGGGTGTTTACGGCATATGCTGCCGCTTTGCAATAGCTGGGAATGCAAGATGTACTTGGGTGAGGGGTTTCCTACTGGAATATTATGTCAGTGGATGGGATAAGGTGTGCGCAGCTAGTTTGGGCAAAACAAATCAAAATTTCGTACTCCAAAGATGATTGGGACAAATAGTAGCAATTAGGAGAATAGCCTAAATTCGTTTCAAAATCAATGATAGTTGGAAGTATCGTAGGTACCCAAGTAGATTCTTCCAAGAAAGTATTACCAGCAAGCAAGGCCATCCAATTTCATGTCTTGTTCAGCCTTGTCGATCTGTCTTCCCAAGACGCACAGCCACATTCAGCCACCAAGGCTATTGTAATATTCTCTAAGGTTGTTATCAAAAAAGTTACAGCGTCTTGACGGAATGAGGGGTGCAATCTTAATGAAAAACCTCCCACGCAGCTTTCTGCTTTTTGTCTCTCCCCCTCCGAATTGATACGGCTTCGATGGCTCAAGTTCTCCGCAGACATGTCTTCCCTACCCCTCGGAGTCCTTTCTCCCTCTCCAACCCTCGATATTTCTCCATCATAACCCCCCGACAAGCATCTCCCGCCAATCCTGCACAGCACCCCGATCGTAGAATGCGCATGCAAGCTAATATGGGGGGGACGCGAATGGCAACCGACGTTGGCCTTCTACCTAGTACGTCCGTCTCAATTGACTCCTGCACCTGCTGAACCCCCGAGCTAATGAAATCACAGATACTTTTATAGCAGCTGGCAGCCCTTCTCTGTTCAAACACCCCAAAGGACTTTTGAAATTCCAATGGACCAGATTCAAGACCCGATTTTGGGATACCGTCGCCACCACTGCATTTAAATGGATGTCTCCCAAAACCGGGCGTGTACGAAGAAAGGTGCAACTGAAGCGCGGTTCGATAGTCCCCGCAGCCGAAGCTCTGTACAGGGAGATGTACCAAAATTTCGCTGCTGGAGACATTGGACGCTTGCGCAGAATGTGCGCCGATGGACTTTCTGAGAGATTTGCGCAGCGCATAGCTTCGAGGCCTCGGGGGCAAAAGGTCACATGGAACCTTGTGAAGATGAACCGAAGACCTAAGATAATGTCGACCAAGGCCGTCATGATACCCGGAGGCGATGGCAATGTGATACGACAAGCAGTGGTTAGGGTTTCAAGTAGACAAAAGATGACACTGAAGGATAGTAGAGGAAAAGAGCTGCCGG